GCTTCTATTCCCAAATCCGAGGGAGGATAAGACCCATTCTCGACCTTCGAGGCCTTAACAAATATATCCGATACAAGAGGTTCCAAATGGTCACTCTATCAACTATCCTCCCCACGTTGTCTCAGAATGACTGGTTTGCTGCCCTGAACCTTCAGGACACCTATTGGGCTACAGAAAGTTCCTTTGATTCGTCATAGCAGAGCTCCATCTTCAGTATATGGTGTTGCCCTTCGGCCTCTCTTCTGCCCCTTGGGTTTTTACCAAATGCATGGTCTTGGAGACCGCATACCTCAGGAAGAAAGGAATGAACATCTTCCTATATCTGGACGACTGGCTATACTGAGAGGCAGGTCCAGAGAGGACGTCAACATTACACTGTGCCTGCTCAACCATCTGGGTTTCATTCTAAACACTGAAGTCAATTTTGGTTCCCACTCAAAAAATAGATTTCATTGGGGCCCTAACAGACTCTTTGAGTTTGAGAGCATTTCTGCTGACCGACCATTTTCAGTCATTCGCCACCTTTCCCTTAGTCTGCAATCTCAGCTTTCCATGATGTGTTGGATGTATCTCAGGCTCTTGGGCTACATGTCTGCTGGCATGCAGGTGGTCCAGTTTGCAGGGTTGTGTCTTTGTCTCCATCAGATGTGGCTCAGGACAGTTTACAATCTGACTCTTCACTCCTTGGAGAGATTGGTCCATCTCCCTCCACGGGTCCAGGACTCCTTGCTGGGGTGGATGCTCCTGGAGAACATTTGTCAGGGTGCTCCCTTCATCCAGCCCTTACCATCCAGGTCTGTCTCTGATGCCTCCAAGATGGGCTGGTGAGCCCATCTGGAGTTGCTGAAAGTTCAAGGTCTGTGAGCAGAGCTGCAGTCCTCACTGCATATCGAAGTGCTGGAGTTTGGGGTCATCTACAGTGTATATCACGCTTTTCTGGACTATATCAGGGGCTCAGTGATTCATATATTTACCGACAATATCACCACGATGTAGTATATGAACAGGCAAGGGGGAGAACACTCCAGGGTGCTCTGCCAAGAGGCAATCAGGTTGTGGCAGTTTTGCATTGAGGAGAGTATCACTCTGATAGCCAACCACTTGCCCACTCTCAGACTATTCTCAGCAGGAATTTTCCCCTGAGCGGTCTTCGAAAACAATTGTCCTCTGGGTCATCTTTGGAGTTTGGGGCATTCCAACGATTGACCTGTTTGCCATTAGGGACAACAGGAAATGTCAATCTGTTCTGCTGTAGAGGGATCCTCAGTCCGGGATCCCTATCCAATAGTTTCCATCTCAGCTAGTAGTCTGCTCTCCTGTACACTTCCCCTTCTGATCCTGACCATCCCACAGATTATTCTCATTGCCGCAGTGTGGCCAAGGCAATGCTGGTTCTCCAACCTTCTCACATTATCAATTCAGCCTCCCATACCTCTTTCTTCTTCATTGCGACCTACTCGCAGAGAATCACGGACACACCTTGCATCCCCCACACAGTTCCCTGCATCTCGTGGCATGGCTGCTGCTTGGCTAAATGAGGAGGAAGAGCAGTATTCAGCAGCTGTTCCACAGGTCCTAGTCAGCAGTAGAAAACCCTCTAGCAGAATGGCCTATTCAGCAAAATGGAAGCGGTTTTTGGTATGGTGGTTGGCCCACGGAATTCAACCAACACTGGCTTCCTTCCAGGACCTCTTGGAGTACTTGCTGCACCTTTAGTTGTTGGGAATTGCACTTAGCTCATTGAGAGTGTATCTGGCAGTGATATCGGCATTTCATCCCCCCGTTAAGGGAAGATCAGTCTTCTCCAATACTGTGGTAGCAACATTCTTAAAAGGGCTTCTTCATCTCTATCCTCTGGTTCAAGAGCTGGTTCCTCTTTGGGACCTTACCATGGTCCTAGCAGTTTTAATGGGGCCTCCATTCAAACCACTGGCATCTTGTACCTTTCCACTTTTGTGTCAGAGAACTGCATTCCTCGTAGCAGATAACATCTGCAAGAAGAGAATGAGAGTTGCATGCTCTAATGGCAGAGTCTCCTTTATATACAATTCTCCAAGGACAAAGTGAATTTACAATCGTACACCAAATTTTTGTCTAAAGTGGTTTCTCGGTTCTGTTTGAACCAGGTGGTATATTTATCTGTGTTCTTTCCTAAGCTGCATTCATCTCCGGAGGAGCAGCATCTCCATCCATTAGATGTCAGGCAATGTCTAGCCTTCTGTCTGGACAGGACTAAGCTGTTTTGTGCTTCACCTCGCCTGTTCATGTCATATGCAAATCACGTAAAGGGGAAAGTAGTCTCTTCACAGATGATTTCTAAATGAATAACATCCTGTATCAAGACTGCATATGAAATAGGTTAGTCTATGCCTCCTCATCAGGTGTGAGCTCATTCTGTGAGAGTGCAAGCAACGTCAGTAGCCTTCCTCGGTGACGTCTCAATATTGAAGATTTGCAGGGCTGCTATGTGGTTGTCCGTACATATATTTATGAACCATTATGCAGTAACCCCACCTTCTAGGGCGGATGCAAGTTTTGGTAGGCAGTCCTGCAATCCTTGTTTAGGTAGACTCTGAGCCCCACCTCCTGGGGTGGGTACTGCTTGTGAGTCATATAAGTGGAATACATGGCTGCATTTACTTACAGTGAGTAACCATTTCTTCTTCTTCAACTGTGGTTCTTTGAGATGAGATGCAGATGTGTATTCCAGGACCCACCCTCCATCCGCTGCATTGGAGTCTAGTCTCTGTGTAAAGGAACTGAGGGGGGGTCAGAGAGACTCTGCTTCATGTTGCCAGAGATGGGGCTGGTCATTAGGCGTGACTGCCACCCCTCTATGCGTACTGCTAGGCAAAATTCTCTGGCTCTGCTGTGCTGCGTGTGTACACACCTAGGTGGAATACATGTCTGCATCATATCTCAAAGAACCACAGTTGTCATAAGTAACCATTTCTTTCCATTCTTCAATAGCATGTTATTCTGTATTCACCCAGCCAGTGACGAGGAGGAACCTGAAGGGTCTCGGAAATCTATTTCCACCAGTCAAACATTCTACTCTGGTTTGGGACCTAAATCTGGTTCTTAAATATCTTACAGGATTCTCTGTTTGAACCAACGACTACCTGCTCACTCCTCCATTTCGCGATTGAAAACACCATTTCTGGTAGCTATCACATCAGCATGAAGAGTTAGGAATATAGGGGCCCTTATGGCATACCCTCCTTTCACGTAACTTTTCAAAGACAAGTTAACATTACAACCACACCCCAAGTTTTCACCAAAAATATCTTCCGAGTTCTATATTAACTAACCCATTCATCTCCCAATCTTCCACCCTAAACCTCACCTAGACAAAAAGGAGGTGTTGTTACACACACTTGATGTCAGGAGAGCCCTGGCCTTCTATCTTGACAGGACTAAACCGTTCAAATTATTTGTCTCGATTGCAGATACATCAAAAGGGTCTGCAGTCTCTAAAAAAAGACTTCCCAAGTGGATATCTGATTGCATTAGCTGTTGCTACCAATCTTGTAATCTCCAAGCACACTCAGGCATATGAACTCACTCTACAAGATCAGTTTCCACTTCTACAGCCTTTTGCAAAAATGTTCCCATCAGTGAAATAAGTAGAGCTGCAACTTGGACCTCTGTACGTACCTTTGCAAAGTGCTGTGCAATAACTCATGACTTGGCTTCTGATGCTGTGTGTGGCTCAGCTATACTTTCTTCAATACTGGACTCAGCTCTGAAGGCCCTTCCTCCTCAAAGGGAACTGCTCAGTAGTCACCTACAGTGGAGCACTCATAGGGACACTACTAGAAGAAGACATGGTCACTCACCGTGTGCAGTAACTGTAATTCTTCAAGATGTGGTTCCCTATGGTTTCTCCACTACCCGCTGTCCTTCCCCTCTGCTTTCGAGGTCTCTGCTACACAGTAGAGAAGAAACTAAGGGTGGTTTACCTGCGTGCTGATATATAACAGCAGGGAGCAACACGCATGCACAGGCTGAACAGACACTGTTATGAGAAATCTCCAATCAAAGGCGCAGAGGATGCAAGTACACCTAGAGTGGAGCACCCATAGGGAGATACATCTCAAAGACCCACAGTTACTGCACAGGGTGAGTAACCATTTATTGGTTTGGGGTTTTTTTGTTTTTTGTTTTTGCCCAAATTTTAGGGGATTCAAACAAGCTGTTTGAAATGTGTCTAAAAATATATTTAAGATTATTTCTACTGGGGTAGCATGAAGTGTGGGGGGGGAGGGTAAAGGGAGGTGCCACCCATTCTAGAGCTCTGTCATGTTGTTGAATTGTTGTATTTTAGAGCAGTGATTTTCAACTTCAACCCCCTAGGGCTCTGCAGACTATGTCTAAGATTTCCAAAGGGGTCCACACCTTCGTTTGAAATTTTTTAGGGGTCCACAAATGAAAAAAAGTTGAAAACCCTGTTGTAGAGGCAGCCTGTGCTGTACCTGTTTGCAATAGCTTTAGCTAATATCAGTAGTGAATTTTAAATAGTAATTTCAGGTTTAAATGCAGTGATAAAATATACCAGATTGTATAATCTACATTAACCTGAATTAAAAGTTCCTACAGTGGTGGGAAAGCAACTAGGGTGATGCACTGATGTATACAAAATATAAATAGGGACAAGAAACATTTCATCATCTGCAATTTGTGTGATGTTTTAAATGTCAAAATTCGTGTGAAACTTCAGAGGTGATACACTTGGTATATGGGGTAGCACTGTAGTACTTTGTCCCAAATTCTAGATACATTAGATATTGTCAAAATAGCCAACCACAGAATTAATTGAACAGTTAATCCAGTAAACAAAGCACATATTGTAGCTGGGAGAATTAGAGTGTATCCTGAAGGTTGTTTTAATTGAAACCTTAATTTAAATGTCATGGAGTGTTGCCTGCCAAAGTACTTATTGAATTTAAAAATAAATTCCTGACTAGACTACTTATATTTTTTCCCCATTATGATCTTAGGTTAGTTTTGTGAAAGAAGCTATAATGAAAGTGCTGAATTTAGTGCTGATGTTTGCAGATCGTTGGCAGGCTGGTTTGGGAGCTTGGAGGTAAGTAATATGTCATAATGTTTTATAATGTGATCATTTCACAGCTCCAGTGTTGTATTTGAGGCATATATCTTTTTGCTTTGCATGTTTAATGGGAGACTAATGTGACCTTTTGTTAACGAAGATAAAATTCAATTGAGTTGAAGCATATCAGCTGCAGGCACCTGTTGGTTGTATAATCAGAATGTGTTTCTCAGTGAAAAAGGTGGCCGATACATTTAAAAAAAAAAATTGTAAGACTGTAGTGCGTTAACAACAAATGGAAGTACTTTTTTATTTCTCATCATGTGTTCTTATAAACTAATAAAATGAAAGGCTCAGTGGTCATGCTTTTACTTACATTTTTTTCTGAGACTTAGTTTCCAGTGCCTGTGATTTTAAGCTAACATTCATTTACTTGGTTTATGAAAACTGTAGGCTTAACCAATAAGGACTCATTCTGGTCTGGTAAAAAGGCAGGAGAAGAGAGGAAAAGTTAAACTTCCTTTGTTATTTGCTCCTCGGTAAATCTTCCTTTTTGATGTAGACTGCTACTGATAGTAACCTTGCCTTATGTCTCAGAAGGTGAAATCCTGGTTCTGTTAAAGTCAATGCAAGTTTTGCCTTTGAGTTCAGTGGAGCCAGGGTTTCACCCAGAAAGTTCAGGACTCACATTGTATCAAAAATATTAAGTCCGATAAACTTCTAAGCAGGGTACTTGCGTTACATGAGGATAACCTAAAATTATTGTATTCTGTTGTTTTTTCCTTTATACCTCCTGTGTATTCTTAGGCACAAAATGAGAAATTTCTCTAAGGCAGGATTTTCAGGAGTGCTCATTGCTGGCCTAACTGTTCCTATTGAAGTCCCAATCCACCCCCTAACTTTCAAGACTGTTTTTGGTGCTGGTGTGTATATGAGTCAGTTATCCTGCTATAGGCATCCATCTCCTGGGCAAGTGTTTCTGATTTTGCCTGTGGAACCCATCCCCCATGTCAGGGAAAAAGAGGAGCAAGTCATCAGGTAGCTCCCTAGCTCTAGGCTTTGAAGCAGTATGGAGCTTTAGAGCACGTCACATAAGAGAGGTTTCCTAGACAGGATCAGTAGCTCTTCCTGATAGTTGGTAGATGCAGACCAGAGGGTGGAGTTAGCTCACCATTAAGTATTTGTGTTGTGATAATGCCTAGAAACCCGTCAAGGATTGGGGCCCTGTTGTGCTAGGCACTCTGTACACAAACAACTGAAAGATGATCTCTGCCTTGTTTTTATTCATTATTAGAAAGGATATGTCCTCTTATATAGAACTGTCTATGTAGTTATTTATCCGCTTTATATTTGTTTAAATTAAACTGCACTTCTTTCTTAGGATGGAATCCATAGAGAAGATGGAATCAGATTTTAAAAATTGTCACATGTTTCTTGTAACAGTTCTAAACAAAGCAGTCTGTAGAGGCTCTTTTCCTCATTGTGAGTATACAGAACAATTTTAAAACAATAGGCTTTTCCTATATTGACACTTTTAATTTATAAGCTTCTTTCGGCAAGTAGGCTTTTCTGGGTTTGTAGGAGTGAGGCTGTTTTAATGTTTAATATGTTTTAAATTGAATTTTATCCTGTGTAAGAACAAGCTTAAGGTGTGTGTCCATGGAGAGAGATTGGCAAAGCATTTTCTATTCTCTTTTAATAAAACAATTTAACAAACATTTTAGAGCATTTGTGCCTCACTTCGTTTATGAATAGCAAAACTTCCTTCATTTTGCCTAATGCCCTGAGGAGGGACATGCAAATAATGTTGGCATATATCATAAATCCTAACTTCGCCAAAGGAATTCACATGCCACTTAAAATAAAGTATTTGGTGATCAGTTATTTGACTACACATCACTTAAAATGGCTGGCATTGAATTCGTGACGAAAAAATGGTTTGCAGTCAGAGCTAATCACTGTTAAACATATTCTTTTCTTTGATTCAGATGTTGTATTGCCTGGTATAGGCCAAGCAGAATTGTTACATTTATTGTTTTATGACATCAGAATGGACAACCTAAAATGGATGACATAAAATGCCATGCTCTATTTTAACAATTCAATGGTTTGTAGTGGTGGTTTATGTTTTATGCAGCATTATAGTCCTGTATGGTGCTTAACTGGCAAATGAAGGCAGTGCCTGCCTGAGTAATTTACATTTTAATGGTTACATACGTTAGGAGTCATACTCATACTTTTTCAGTGTAAACGTTGCACCCACTAAATATTTCTAAAGTTAGTAATAAAATATTTGCCTAAGTAACAGGTGCTTCTTTGGATGAATAAACATGTGATGATGTGGGTAGTGGTGCAAGAATAACACCAATTTGTTTATCTTAAATGATACTGGCTTCTCACAGTGACAGAGCATACAAAAGGTGGCCATGGTTGTAATTTCAAAAGTATAAATATGAGAGCAGAGCAGAACATCGATTAGGTCTACTGTTTCAAGAGAATTTTCTCTGTATTTGCACTGATGTAAATGAAAGCAGATTTTTTCCTATATTATTGGATCTTTTGGCTGGTGGGGTTATTCTCAGTGTAGATGTATTAATACTGTTTATTTACAAAGGATAAAGATACATTTATTCAGTTTTGCACCTTTTGCTAAGGATAAGGTTCCACACCAACATCTGAAAGGAAATTAACTCTCCTCAATTGGCCCCTCATTATTTCAGATATTTCAGGTAATGAAATTGATAAAATTGAAAATGCTTGAGGCAGGGACTTAAACCCTCAGATATTGTTATTTGTAATTTGAATAATAAAAGATCTCATCTGCCTAGTAAGCTATAAAACTGACAATTTCAGTAAACCTTTGCAGAGTGATGTAACCAAGACTATTTAAAATGTTTAAAAAATGTTTTATCTGTTTTGATTCACAGTGGAGTCTTTAGCTGTGTCACTCATGGCTGGCATGGAACAAAGTTAACAAAAGACCAGAGTGCATTGAACTACTCAAGAACTGAACTCCTGCAGCATTCATCTGCCACATTATTTATTCAAAATGAGCATTTTATACTGAAATCCATGTATATGTAGATAAATGGCAGTTGATATCATTTCCTTTCATTAACTGTTTGAAACTGTAAAATGTTTGAAACTGTAAATGGTGATGTACAGTATTTAATGAGTATTGATTGTGGCTGTTTTTTTTCCCCTGCGTGTTAGTATGCTATAACATCAGATTCATACTGTCTTGCAAAAGTAGCTGATTTGAAAATACATGAAATGTTTCTTCTTGTGAAGAAGGAATTACTCACTATTTTGTTAGAGTATTTGCTGATTAAGTCTTTAAAATAGTTTCCTTTAATTTTGCAAGAAATGTTAAATACTTGCCATTTTTAACTAGGATCAAAAGCACATATGTAGAATATACTATAACTGTGAAAATGCGGAGTACAAGAATACTTGTTCTCAGCTCCTTACCCTTCCCTTGTTCTTCCAGTCCTTTCCACAGCACAGGTGATCTGTCCCTTCTCCAGCTTCCTAGTCTCTTGCAACCCAGCCTCTAATATTGGTAGTTCTTCAAGTGTCTGTAAATGTGGATCTCACTCTTGGTATGCATGTGCCGCATGCACAACAAATCAGAATCTTTTAACCAGCTGTGTTCTTTGGGATCACACATGTGCCCTACATATCCTTGTGTTACCCCCTCTTGAGGGCAGAAAAGATGGAGTGTATTCAACTGCCACTCAATTCCTTCTTACCACCTGCAAAGAAACAGTCTCTAATCCTGGGACTAGCAGCCTTGTCCTGTCACTTGTTTTAAATAAATAATAAAAAGAGCCTGTAGAGATTGACTGAAATGCTACTTTTGTATCTGTACTTCTGCTGAAATACAGTCACGAACTTTGTAAGTTTTTTGGCTGTCTGAGCTCAGGTCAACAGTCTGCCAACCCTATGCCTTTAGGCTTAATATTTCTAAGCTTTCTAACCCCCATGGTTGCAGAGGAAACTCAGTATTTTTTTTAAACAAAAGCTGAGATTTTAATGTAATCACATGACTTCAAGAGCAGGGGCTTTAAGAGCAATACCAAATCACGAGAAAGCTGGCAACACTGGTGTGTCATACACAGGCAAACTGCTGGTGCCCTCTAGTATGTTCCATGTCAGTTTGTAGCTTATTTCAGGATGTTGTCTAAGCAAAATCTATACCATATTACCACAGCTTCCCTTTTACTACTATGTCTCAGACTTCTGGAGGGACCTCCTTTGAAGGTGGGGTGTCATCAGAGGTAATTTGTACCTTCATTCCACCTTGGTCTCTTCCCATCATGATATACCATGCTCTATAGTGTACCTATATTTGATATACTGTATCTATAAATACTTGCTGCTTGTCTAGTTTAACAGCACTAGCCTTAGCATGCTGTACTTGGGCGCTGAGGTCCAGGAGTTGCTTGGACTGGTTCAGGTATATTCATATGCTGTTTGGCCATATACCAAGTAGTTGTATACTTTGCTTTCTGTACTTTAAAAACTTGACTGATAAGATTGGTGGTGGTTTTTTATATACATTGGTCACTCCTAGCTCCACCCAACTTTCTTTTCTCTCAACCAGCTTTCAGTATTTCATTTAGCTAAGTGGCTGAACAAAACCAGAATACCTGCCACATTTGATGCAGCATTTACTTCTTGTGCGTCCCCTCCAAGGCTGCTGGATGTTTTGTTATGCTGGGTTCCTCCACGCCCCCTTCAAATAGGATTTCAGATAGGACAGCTCTAGTCATGGAAAAACTAGAGCTGATTATTTTTTAAGGGGGAGAGCAGTTGAGCCTGTGTATGTGCGTTCGCTTTCTCTCTCTCTGATAATGAAAAGGGATTTGGCTCAGGCTGGCTTCTGTTGTATTAATGTAGTTGGAATATATGGGCCCAGAGTCAACTATTTACATGACCCTTTTATTGTCCAGCACTAAAGTTTTAAAAAAGGTTCAGGTTTGGTACGTGACCTCAGTGTAGTACCAGGGCCCAAACACTATTAAAAATAGTGTAACCTGTTATTGAAGATACAGAAAAGAAGGAAAAAAGTTAAAGCATTTGAAATGCAAGATATTAAGTAAGGCTTTCATTATAACCATAACTCTTTTCCCCTTTCCCTTTACTGTAGAGTTTTTAGAATGAAACCCTACTGTCTGATGGTCTCTTAGAGGGTATTAAAGAGGGAGTTAACTGTCCTTTCTCTTTTTCCCAAAGAAGTTAGTTGAGATAGGCTGGAGCAATGGTGATTGCTGCTGTTCAAGTCCAGTCCTGTTTCCAAGAAGACAAAATAAGATAAATATGTATAAGAGGGGAGAGGAAAAAAATCAGTAAAGATAGAAGCAGCATTTTCTATCTCTGCTGTTGACTCTGACTTGCAGCCTCACTCTGGAGAAACAAAGGCACAATGCACCATTTTATCAGCCACACTGAGACCTGGCAAATTTGTACCAGCATTGGTGTGTTTAGAACATTGCTGTTAACTGCCTCTTTACTTACAAGCTCATGGCACTGTTGCAAAATATATAGTCTTGTCCAGCTAAGCCAGACTATTATTAGACAGAAGGCAAAAGGAGAGGGATAGGAAAAGGATACACAAGGGGAGGAAGATGTGACAAAGTCTCACATCCCAGGTGGTTGGGTTTCAGCCTGAGCCAGTGGAGATGGTGATGTCATGTAGGTCCCTTTTTTTTTTTTTGGACTAATCTGTTCAGGACACCTTTTCCCATCCAGCTGATTAAGGCCCATTGGTGTCTCGGTGGATCCTGAGGTCCTAAGGGGGTGGGTGGCAGCCATAAAGATTACTGCAGCAGTTGCTGGCAGACAGCTTCTTTTAGTTTTCCACCAAAAGTTGTCTTTTTAAAAACCCCAATAATGAGCTCATCCCCTCATTATTTTGTCCACAAATAAGTCTAGTTAGTGACACACCAGTTTTGGTTCCATTGATTTCCAGTCTCGCACTTCTCTTGTTTACCAGGCATGAGCTTAATGCAGTTCTTGAGTTACATCAATAGGTTGTCTTATTTAAATTAGTCTCTTTTGCATCTTTTCCCACCAACAATTATTGTTTTAATAGGTTATTGAAACACTTTGTAAACTTCTTTCTAGTTTACCACCGTTAAGCACACAAGTGGGATAAATGCATAGGCCTAATTATTATGAGACATCCCATCTGATAAAAGGTCTGGTTTAGAGAAGGGAAAGTTTCAAAAAGAGAATCTGCAGAACACTCCAAACTTTCAAAAGGTGACGTCTGATTTGAAACTCTCTGTTCCAGGAAATTCCACTAGATGAAAGGATTTCAGATTTCCTGAACTTGTATTACAGATCAGTTAATCCTCTCAGGAGTAGTCCAAGGCTATTGGTTTAATAATGCCTTGGTTACTGTTTTAAAAACACGAGAAAAGACATCTCCTGTCTGAAAAGCTTCCACTCTAAAAAGATAAACTACATATAGTTTACAGTGAAAAGATCATGGTGTAAATGACTGAGAACATGTAAGTTGAGGAAGAAGTAGAGAAGGAGATTTATAGGTCCAGAGAATTGGGAGGGAAAAGGATTATAGAGGAGAGGGAACTGGCTGAGTATAGAGTCAAAATAGTAGAATGACAGGCACCCAGAAATAAGATGTACGCACAAGTAGGACTATCTGGGGGCCTGGAAAATGAGGACAAAGTATTGGAAACTGATGTTTAAGGAGGTGTGAAACAGAAAACGGTCTTGTAAAGGAGGATTGCTATGGTTTGGGTGGCAGACAGATTTTGGATAGACAAGGGTTTAAGCTTGAGTTTAAGTAATTTAAATGTGAGATTGAACAAAGGGGAAGAGGTCAACACAGAGAGAACTGAAGACAGAAAAGTGGATGAGGCCACTCAGGGATAAAATGTAGAAAGAAAGGAGGGCCCCAAGATGGAACCCTGTGGGACACTGACCAAAGTAAAAGGAGCAAGAAGTGGAAGTTGAAGAAGCAATTTAAGAGATTAGAGAAAGGATGGTCAATTGGTGAAAATGATAGAAAAGTTGAGAAAAATAGAGGCTAATGTATAGAATTTTCAGAGATGCCTGTAATTCTCTCTCCTCCCTCCTCTTCCCCCCCCCCCCGTTACATTCCCAGTATTTTAATAACCTGAAAAAACAGCTATTATCTAGATCTTACATCCAAGTCAGATTCAGGTGGACCAGAGAGCTGCAGTAGTAGATCATAAATAAAAATATATCTGCATTTCAGTGTAAATGAAGTCAGAATGTCCAAGATCCATAATAAACCTAAATTGAGAGAATAATTGGTTGTTACCTATAAAATAAATTAAAAATGAAATAACAGTGTGGTGATAGTAGCTATAAAAATTGATTTTCTTTCTTTTCTGGATCTAATTTTCTATTTCCCTATCTTGTTCACTCCAATCATTCTCAATAGCTGAGGTTCACAATAAAACAACAAACTTTCCAGTGCTCCTCTTTTCCTTTAAGTCTACATAGAGATTGTGCAAAAGCCCTCAAGAAAAACAAGATCTAAGTTGTCTTTACCTCAGCAAATACCTTATAAAGACTTCCATGTTGGTAGCTTCTTAGGAAAAAAGCTCTTCTGAGGCAGTCCTTGACAGATTGTGGACCTGTAAATCTTATTTCAGCACCAGAAAAACAGTTTAGAAGCATATAGATATGCCTATATTATGACAAATGAGCATGGTTTCTGAAAGGAGATGTCTCTTTAAGCTGTTGGACATCTTTGACCCCATTAATGAAATATTTGAGAATAAGGAGAACTGGTTGATATATAGATAATTTACTTTGACTTTCCAAAGGCTTTTTATAGCCTTTCACAGAAGAGTTATTTAAGGAAACTTAGAAGAGTGGAAATCTGGTTGGCAGGGGGGAAAAAGAACTTGGTCAAGAATATGAATAAATGGTCAGTTCTCAGCAAAAGAGGTTAGTAGCTTGGTGCCTTAGGAACAGAGATGTTAAAAATTGCTTGCTACAAAATATTATGCTGGCTCATAAGACCAAAGGACTAGAGCTGAGGAATTCCAAGAGGATGACTAGAAGCAGATAAAATCTCAGATTATGCTTTACATAGACCAATACATAACAATACGTATTGGAAGGAACAATTTAAAAATTGTGTGTACTCTGATGGGTTCTGAATTAATTGTAACCTCTGAGGAAAAATGTGTAGATACAATACATGGGTCAATTAAAGCATCTGATCAATGGTGGATAAAAATCAATTAAAATAGGCTTATTAACAAAGAGACAGTAATTTCCCTTCATGTTACAATATTG